GGAAAAGTCCAGGTCCCAGGAAGCTACATTCCAACTGTATTAAAGCTTGTCTGCCTGAAAGCTTATTAAAAAAACAGCACTTGTCCTATAGCAGTAGTTGAGCTGAGCTGCACACTAGGAATGCAGGAAATAGGCTGCATTATACCGGGCTAGCGCTAGTTTGCAAATGGACACACCCACAGCAACACAATCCCAGATTAACTAGGACATGGATATTATTGGCAAAGGCTATGAGATTGTCATTCCTCTGGTGAGAGATAGGAGGAGGGGAATAGGATGCAGGAGCCCAGCACTGTGTTACCCACTTCCATACCTGGTTTGCCAAGTGGCAATTCATCTGGTCAGCACCCACTCACAACGCACAAACAGGCCAGGGAATTTAGTCTGAAAATCTGGGAACAAAAAATGTTTCATCATAGTGTCTCAGCTGCAGTACTACAAATAAAAGCTGTGAGACTTCTTCTAGTTTAGTTTTTCTTCGTTTGTGGGTGGGTGGGTTTTTTTTTTGGGGGATTTCAGTTTCAGTGCAAAATCTATTATTAATTTAAATTGCAGCTTACTCTTCCCAGCACCATACAAAACCAGTGGAGGGGTGGTCATCTCTTAGCTGAGACTGAATCCTGACTGTGTGGGCAGGACTACTACAAACTAATATTAAATGAAGATGCAGCTTGAAGTGCTAACAGGCGTGGCACAGAAGTTGCTGCACCATGCAAAGGGATCTCTAGTTTGAGCCCATTACTTGTAGAAGTTATCCTCCAAGTAGTATCTTCCAAGCATGCTGCAAAGCCCATCCTCTCTTTTCTTTTGCTGTTGAGGCTGCAGATTGATGAAAACAGATCTATGGTCAGTCTTCTGCTTCTGTTTATTTTTAGTGTAGAGTAAGAACTTTGAGTAAAGGAAGAAGTCCAATAGCTGAATATCATAAAGTGGAAAAAATGCTAGGAAAAGAAATCAGCAAAATGCAGTATGTTTCAAGCAGGCTTGATAACTGAATTCAAAATATTATTAAAACTATAATTGATGCACTTTGTGGTAATTACATGAAATGTTCTTATTTCCTTCCTGCTACAGTCAGAGCATGAATAAACAATCTGATTTCAATTGCTCTCAGTCATGAAATTAAAAAAAGTTGAGGAATATGAAAGTCAAATAAGAAATTTTAAAAGGACTGGCATTTATTTCTTAAAAAATTCACCGGCATGTTTCAAAGACTTACGGAAAAGCTAACTACTCGAGCACAGCAGTATTCAAAGATAACAAATACAATCAACATCACCCCTGCTCTGATGGAAACAGTAAATTGGCTTTCATGTAACCAGTGAAAGAATAAAACAAAGAGTTAACTCCTTAAGTAGTTGAGTTATTGCTAAGATTTGTATGCATTTCCATTGTAAAAGAGAAAGCACAACTAGAAAAAACACAATAGACAATTATTGTCTTCCTACAGTTTTTACTGTACACTGTATTCATACAGAACACAATCTCTTTATACAAATCTTACAAGAATTAACATTCCTCAATTCCATCATTATGAAGACAAATTTCAGGTCTAAGTTTGTTATCTTAATAGCCATTAAATTTTACTGCCTGGTTTGTGGATGCTAGCAAAAAAGGAGTAACTTGGTGCCATATTTTGTTTCTGATTATACAAGTTGAGATCTCAAAAAAACTCCAAAACATTACTTACCTAAAAGCTAAATTCATTAAGACATCTTAAAAAAAACCCCTAAAACTCCAAAAGCATAAAATTGCACTTAGATGAAAGATAATTACTTTCCCAAGAGATGAGCTTTCTTACCCTTTGAAAAAATAATTATCCTGAGAGAGATGTAGCAAAGAATAGATTTGGCTGCCAAAGTACTATACTCTGCAGCTTCCTACCATCCCCAAGCACCATCACTCTTATAATAGGTAGTGTATGAAATGTATGCAAACATGTTACTTAAACAACTCTGTGTGAATCTGTACACATCTAAATCTAGGACACCATAAAACATACAGTAACTACTGAAACACCTATCATTTTGAAGGCACAGTAGGAGAAACATAATGAATCTGTTCAGCCACCCAATCAGGAGATAAAAATCATGATTTAACAACAATATTCCTGAAGGCTAATATTACAGGTATACTGGAACAGAAATCCACACCTAAGAACAAGCACTAACAACAGTTATTTTGCTTTGGATCAGCATGTATGTGCTATTGCACAACTTGCAAGCTTAACTTTGCACCAGTATGCCCCTGTCTGGCTAAGACGAAACACTAGATTCTGTTACTCAGGCTATTCCCAGGGACCCTGATAAAAGGAAGAAAGTATCTGACAGATACAGCTCTGTCTCTTCTCCTGCATGAAACATATGACTTCTAAATTCACCTCAAACTGAATGGTTTCAAAGCGACAAACCCAAAGGTTTCCACAGACAAGGCAGCACAGGCAGCCCCTGCACAGCTTTCATGGGGTTCTCACCAACTCAGCTTCACAAGGCTCCAGTGGGAAGACCTCTCAGTCTCTGCCTCAAGATTTTGGTCTCTTCCTCAGATTATCAAAAGATAGCCAATTGTGATGGTGGTTTTTCTGCTGGAAGAAAACTTCATGCTGGACTGAGACCACCAACTCATTTCACATAGGTCAGAAAATGAGACGGTAATAGTTTTTCACAGTTGCCAACTTAGACTGTACTTGAGCTACAGACCTAGATGTGAAAGGCTCTGTAATAAATTACCAATCTCCTGAGCCATCCAGTTAACAACATGCATGGTTTTCTTTTTAAACTCAATTAAGTTCATAAATTTCCTGAAAGTATGGAAAGTAAAACATCAGAAAAATTCAATTCTTGATGATAGATCATTTGTTCTCTGTATGCCTCTTAAAAATACACTGACAAGTACTACTGCAGGCAGAACATTAGAGTAAGACATTACTGTACATTAAGTACAAAAACATTTTGGTTTAAAAAAAAAGTGTGCCTAAGTAGTAACATGCACTATATATTTCTACATTATATTTTGCTCTGCTATTTCATGAGTTATGACAAAGCCACCACAACTTTTTTTCTTCTTCCCTCAGTGCTGCGGCTTTTGCTCCATTTCTAAAACTAGGAGCAATTTAGGAACAATATTCATACAATTATTTTAATAAAGCAAGGCTTCCTTGTATTTCAGTTCTGAAAAAGTTATTTATCAATGACAAACATTTTCCCATCAGTTTAAACAGAGACTGGCAATCCATAAAAGCATTTATTGGGCATGAATATAGAAGACAAATAAGTTACTGACTACATTTCCAGGAACACTATTAAAGCTATTTCAAAGACAAAAACGTGACTCTGGAAGAGTAATAAGGAAGCCAGACTTACTGCACCAAGCACAGAACAGCACTGGTAATACTGACTCATGGGAAAGAAAGGTCAAACTAATGATACTCTCATGCACTAATGAAATTTCAGTAATTAGAAGCATCAAATATAGATATTATCATAATTCGATAGCATTTTTTCAATTTAATTCTAAGAATAAGAGCTACAGACAACTGGGTCAGTTGTCTACCCGATTTTAAGACAACAGACAGAACCAGCTCAGCCAGCTATGGGCATATTCCATAGGCAAATATGTAAGAATTAGTGAGATGCACCAGTTTAAAACATCTAATAGAATTTGCTGGATAAGAAACTCACTCAGGTTCAAAGTATTTTGCCTATACTGTAGTTTGGAAAAACATTAGTTTATTTGCAGAAGTCTCCAAAAGTTGCAATAGCTATATTTATGATAATTATAAATATGAGAAGAAAGGTAACTTTCGAAGGCCACTAAGTAAAACTGATAATTTTAGAGTTCTTATTTTGTTTTTCAGCAGTTCTTACAGCCAATCATCCTCTCTCCTACCTACACATATGCTGTATTTAGTTATTTATCTTGCCTGCAGTGGTACCAGAGGCATTTTCTGTACCTCAAGATGCCTGTTATTTAAACCAATGCTTTTAAAAATAATTTAGATAATCAAGAAAGGAAAACAGCCATCTGATATACTTCGCTGTCATAAGCACATCAGATCACAGCCAGCTTTTAAAATTTGCTCAACTAATCAAGGCTGACTGCAGGATAAAAATATATATTTATTAGTACATGCCCTTAGCGCAAAGGTTTGTTTCCCAGCAATTTGTACAAAACACATTCCTTGCCCTCAATCATCATCCCAGTGCTAAAACCCATTGCAGATCCACTTACCAAATCCCTGTGTAACACCCAGTTAGCGTGCAGGTAGTGAATACCATCTAGGATCTGATACAACAGTGACTTCACCATTCCCCGAGGTAACTGAACTGGTTTCTTGTTTGCTTTAGAAGCCCTGTGAAACTTGATTATATGCTGTAAAGAAGAAAAAGAAATAAACATTTAAAAATTTAATGTTTTGATCTACAGCATTACACAAAAAAAATTGCCAGTAATTCCTTACACAGACTTCTTAGGTTTTTTTCAATCTTTCATAATTCATTTTCAGAACTAGAAACCTGAAGTACTAGAAAATTAATACAATACAAGGTAAAATACTCATTAGTCCAAGGAAACCTCTCAAAATTATATCAGTTGTTGCTGTCATTTAACCTTGGCAGGCAGCTAAGCCTCACACAGCCGCTTGCTCACTCTCTCACAGTGAGATGAGGAATGTAAAACCAATACAACTGTCAAAACAAATTCCCTTGCAGATCACTGATCTTGGAGATTTTATGGACATTTTCATTTGGGTGTTCTTTTTGTTAAGATAGGTTGATATCTTCTATATCACAGCACAGAATTAAAAGTACATACCTAACTCTTGTATTATTTTACTTCTAGGTTTTCTTCTACATTAAGAATGACACCAATATTCAACACCTAATGACAGACAGAAATTCTTGCTAACTGTATTTTAAATGTTTAAGTTAGAAGCCCACATTTATTCATTCTTTATTAACTATATCCTTAAAGCACAGTACTCTCAAACGTAAGCTTTTGACAGAGCAAAGCTATGTATCTGTCCATCTGCAAGTCAGCTACCAAGCCAGACACAGAAAAAACCTTTAACAGCTAAAAGTTAAAACACAGGCAATGATGTCTAGCAACAACAAGGAGTCCAAAAGGATATGCTGTCTTAGCACTTGAGACCAACGTGCCACTAACTTCAATAGCATAAGGTGTGCCACAGTCATGGTAACCATTTCCCTGTTTGTCACCTTTAGAGAGAAGTAATTTCTAGAACAAACTCTTTCATGCATTCACATTTCTTTTCTGTAATGACTCACACTTGTGTGATCATCAAAACGGCCCTGATCTTGTCTGTCCAAAGCCAAACTTCCATCACATGGACATCCTACATTCCTGATCTTTCATATTCTGGGTGCCAATTAGGTACCCAACTACTCAAACCCCTTTGGGAAATAGCCATTCCTCTCTTGCTGCAGCCCAGCTCCATACAGCTTGCTCTCCTTTGCTTCAGGCACCAAGCTTGACTTTCCTGGGAGGAAAAGGCACATCCCTGCTCTACCCAAAAGGGTCGATTTAGGCTGGATATTAGGAAAAGTTCTCCAATATGAGGGTGATAGATCACTGGCACAGGTTGCCCAGAGAGGGGGTGGAGGCCCCATCCCTGGAGATATTCAAGGTCAGACTTGATGGGGCTCTGAGCAACCTGATCTGGTAACATTGTCCCTGCTCACTGCAGGGGGGTTGGACTGGATGATCTTTAAAGGTCCCTTCCAACCCAACACATTCTATGATTCTATGTAACTAGAACTCCAAGCTGTCCTATTCAGCCAATAATTTTTCAAAGGGAATCCACCTCAAACAATTAAATTTTCCTGCATCCTACTTTAGCTATAATACAGGGTTATATCTGCATTTATTTAACTAGATTTCTATCTACTGAGAGCTGAATACCGATTTTTATCTTTTTAAAGAGGTCAGAGATTAACTGTGTAGCGTGCTTACCAAACATTTTTCATTACTTTTCCTTAAGTACTGAAAACGTTTCAAACAAACATGGGACAAAAGGCAATACTGTTTTTAAACCAATACATCTTGCCTGACCTTGTCCCTTTTCTGCAACTAAAACTCTAAGCCTGGTACCTATAAACAGTTGACCTTACCCAGAGGTCATGCTCAGCGTAGTCAAAGAGAAGCCACACTTTCCTGTCAGCATGAGAAAGAAACACCTTTTGCAGAGAAATGACATTTGGATGCTTGAGCTCCCGCAGCAACTGCAAAATAAAGAAAGTCCACGACAGTTATATCCACACATCCAGAGCTGCAAAAGGACTGGAAATATGAATCCTTTAACAGTCTTTGCTACAGCTCTACAATACAAACAATAAAAAGTTGAAATCTGCAAGTCATAGAAAACAGCATATTTTTTTAATGAAAGAAAAAGTCATTAGTTTGAAACCAAAGCTCACAGCAGGTCATAACTCCTCAGGGCATTCACTTCCTATTCATTTCCTAAAAGTTGAACTCTATGTAAACCTCATTGTTATCCTGGATCAAGAAGACTCTGCAAACAGCCAGCTGTGGCATCTGCCCTTTTCCATAGGTTGTAATCTTTGATAGAGCCATTTGGGGTATCCAATTTTCTCCTGACTCCCAATTATCCAAAACCCCTGCATTTTGGTGGCAGTCATTCAAGGCTAAACAGGATGACTCATTTTGAGCCTGTCGACGCAGTCAGCTAAACCAAGCTGTGGCTTGCGAGATGGAGTCGACTGATCACCAAGGTCACCACCACCTACAGAAGAAGGTCTGACTCCCTCCCACAGCATACACTGCACCAGTTACAGTGCTGACAGAAGCCATCCACAAAACAGCTCCCAGTTCAAGAGAAAACTATCCCAGACACACAAAGGCATTGATTTTCTGCCAAGTTCCTGAGCTGAAATGACTGACGGCACTAACAGCAGACCCAGCACTAGCTCAGCTGCTTTAGAAACTATAGCTTTAACCACCACCACCAAAATAAAAACATAGCCAAGACGTAGCACAAAAACTGAATGTAGGTTGAATGTTACAATTACACTGTACTCACACAATTGCTACGAAAGAAACAAAAACTAAGCAAACTATTGTCCAACATGGCTACCCAAGACTAGATCAACTACTGCCAGCTCAGTCTGCCAGAAGTGATGACATCTTTAAAAAAAGGAACGACTAGGGTTTTCTTAAAAGCCAAGGACAATTTGAACTACTATTTGAATATAGAACAAAAAAATTTTTTTTAGAATGCATCTATTTTCAATAAAACATTTTCCTGCTACATAATAGAGGAAACAAGAAAGTTCATTCCTTTCTACTGATACCTTTGCCACATGTGGTAACATTTTAGCTGCTGCCAAGATAGCAAAATAAGAGTGGATATCTGTGTGTGTTTGTTTCCTTCTTTTCTATTTCATTTGACTCAGACTCCCATCCCTACTCGCTGCCCAGAGTCTTCAGAGTGGCATTTCTTGAGCAAGAGGATCTACAGCCCACAGAGCTTTTAGCTGAAGGAAGAGATCAAACAGGAAGACAAGAGTGTTGAGGAGACAATGCAACCCTGGCAGATCAATGCAGAACGCAGTCGTTTCAGCATGTTAAACATGTTAATCTTATCATTTGTAAAAGCATTACACACAAGAATTTTAAGGCAGGATCTGCAAGGAGTTTGGAATCCTATAGGTGCCTATAATTCTTACAAAGCTTAAGATCAGTACAGGGAAAACCAAGAAAAACTTATTTGCAATTTTTAATCAATTACAGGTGGGTACCATCTGTGGTAGGTTGACCCCAGCCAGCAGCCAAGCCCCACACAGCCACTTACTAACCCCCTTCAGTCAGATGGGAGAGAAAGAACAAAAGCACGAAAATTCGTGGGTGAGGATAAGAGAGTTTAGTAAGTGAAGAAAAAAGGAATAACAAAAAAAAATAAATACACACCAAACAACAGAAATGATGCAACGGCAATAACTCATCAGTCTCACAAGCAGACCGATGCCCAGCCAGTCTCCGAGCAAAGGCTACCTCCCAAAAGGGAGCGGAAAAAAGAGGAAGCTTGGATGCTCTGCAAACCCTGCTCAGCAATAGCCAAAACACTGGTGGGTTAGGGTTATAACCACTGCTTTAGTCACAAATCCAAACCACAGCACTATACAGGCTGCTATGGAGAAGATTAACCGCATCCCAGGCAGATCCAGTACAGCATCAGACCATCAGTGGGAGTCAGCCTCTTAACAGTGAATGAGGTTTTAGGGTTTAAGGATACATCGTGCCAGTCCTTACACCAAGGGATTCTGTTGAATGAGCATAAATTCACAGCTTAAATTTGTGCTAAACATTTCAATGAATTACCCGTACCCAGAAGATTGCATGACAGTTCTGCAACTATGCGTTCACACCAGAATTTTATCACATTTCTTGTGGTCTGACCTCTACCAGACACAACAAGCTATTCCTGGATGAAAGAGGTAGTTACTAGTTAGCCATCTAGAAAATAATGTAATTTTCCTCTTCACCCCTTCCTGCCCCATTTCAAGTCTGCCCTACTCCTTATTCCCCAGGTAGCAGCTATCACCCACTTAAAAAATTCAATCTCTTCACATCAAATGTGATTCACCTCAGCAAACACAGAGAAACCATCACCAAAGCCAGTCCAGGTCATGACACAAAGATGAGAAACTTTGAATAATGCAGCAGAAGGGTTCCCTGTCTGTACAGTGAGACAACATAGACCTAATTCTCCTTTGTTTCTGCTAGGGGTAAGTCAACCCTGTGGGTCTTTGAGATTCATAGCACTCCTTCTGGTTTGCTAGATGACAGGCTGTTGCTCTTCCCTGTTTTCCAATCCAGACAGTAGCAAGGTACAAGTAACTGAGCATGCACTTCCTATAGACATACACACAATACAGACCAGCCATACAGGTACCAGAAGAGTCAGGAGGGCACTATCTTCTTCGTAGGCACCCACATAAGCACCAACAGTACCTTTGTAAAACTTGATCAGCACAACTGGCCTGGATCCCACTTATCTAATCAGGCTAAAAGTTCACACACATGGACACATTCACAGATCCCTCTGACTCGGGTGTAGACCTTGCACCTGTTCAGAAACAAGCCCAGACATTGTGCCCTTTCATCCAGGTTCCAGCTTCAACATTGGGTCCCTCCAGATTTCGGTTTCCTCCTGCTTGCTTGTTCTGCTTGCTTGAAGTTCACTAGCAGGTCACACACAAGCTACCAGGGAGAACTGTGCATGTTCATCTCCTGACCTACATGTCTCCTGTATCCAGCTTCTAGAGACCTGTGGCATTCCCAGCATCTGGCTCCTGCAGACCTCACCCTGTTCTCACCACTAAGCCCAGCTTGGAGTTTGCAAGCAGGTCACAGATGCACCCCCAGAGCACACACAGTTAAGAGCAGACACAGGACGGGTTGTGGTGACCCTGTACAGAGCTTGGCCAGACAAGCACACTGCCCAGTAGCCTGCTTACAGGAAACCTGACCTTTATGCCCTCTCCATTTTCCCGTGCTTTTTCCTCCCCAGTCCACCATGATCACTCCCTTTCCTGCCTTTTATCCTTCCTCTAAACATCCCACAGAAGTTTTAAAGAGTCCCAGCAGCCTTCTCAAAGACCAAGTAAAATCTCTATCCTCATATAAGATCTACAGCAATCTGCTTTCCTTCTCATCCGTTACAAAGCCCTGGTTGACTCTCTTCAAGGACACACTTGGAAGGTTCCTTTTGTGGCCCGAAACCAATGTTTTAGGAGTTCTAGCCTCTGTTGCTGTCACTGGTAGCAGCTGTTATGGTTTGTGCATTTATGTGCTCAGTTTCTCATTCCCGCTGTTTTTTGCCATTATCTACGCATTCTTTCAGTCTGCCTAAAAAAAAAAGATACGGGTTTGGTCAAAGCCAGACAGCCGCAAGCACCCCAGTGAACAGGTTGTCTAATAAGCATTGGCAAAACCATCAGAATAAGGAAATTATTGCTGTGGTGATGACAGATGATCCCTGAGTCACTGTCTTGGAAAGGCTGAAATGCTCCAGGACAGTGACAATGCAGTGACAAACGCAAACGCTGTCTGAAGGACAGAAAGAGCTCATGCAGATGATAACACATCACATGGGCCGGAGACAGCGTTTCCAGCAACCTCACTTTCCATGAACCAGACCTCTCTAGCCCATATGCCACATGCCATCCCTACCAGATGACTTGCCTTGTGTCCAGCAGCTGACATAATTCACTGGAGACAAAGTGGACTCCAAGAAACACCATATGACCATCAGCATGACGCCTGCTAATGGTAAAGACCACTTCTAGCCTAGTGACTGATGCCTAATTGCTTCTCTCCATCCTAGTTCAGTTCTATAGTACACAAAGAGAAAGTAGACAAAAACTAAACAATTGGCTCTCAGTAAGTTACTGCCCTTTTCATTTACATATCATGCAATGATTCAAGAGCATTTCCACAGGCAGAAAGGTTTCTCTTAGATTAGATGGTCTGGGTACCTTTTATAAGGAAGAGAGATCCAATTCACCTTCAAAGAAATACAAATCAGCATCTGATGAAGATGCTGACACACCTAGTTTGACTTGAGTGTTGTTAACCCCACATTGTCCCAGTCTGGTCTTGCCCTTGCTGTCATAAACATTGTTCAAGGCACAACAAGGGAAACAGCAGCCCTATATGCAAGTCGTGGGTTCACACTAAGGTTCCTCCACCTCCCTTCTCAAAAGCAGAAATATTCAATCCACAGCCATGAGGTAGGTGGAGGACAGTAAATTAAAGTGTCCTAACAATGCATGAAATTGTTAAATTGCTTCACAAACAAGGACAAAGCAGGGTAAGACAGGACATTATTAAATATCAACAGCTGCATTAAGGCAGCCTGGCAAACAGCCACATGACTAAGGCAAATCTTTTCTTGCACAGGGACACTAACAATAATTACCTTTCACATCAAATATGAGCTGAACTCAGCACAAGTCTTGATGAACACTATCTCCTTCCTCCAGCGATATTCCCACATTTTCCATACTGCTCTCCACCACCAGACACTTCTCATGAGCCAAGACACCGCACTGAACGAGCACATTCAATACATCGCACTCTGTGTAAGTAAGGATTTCTGCCTTTACTGCAAATGTCATTCCACCCCCACTTTTGATGCTTTCTACTACATGTGGACCACAGGGAATGTCACCTGCTTAGTGCTGCAATACTGCCATGCTTACCTCTACAATCGAGCACAGACCCATTTGCCAGAGCAATTAGCCAGGTGACCTGACCTATAAGGAATTTCTCTGATGTCTGCGTTGCTCTCACTGCCTTCCTGTAAGTGCTAAGCAACACGTTTCTTCCAAAGCTTAGGGCAGTCAGAAAGCTGGCTAGACAAAGACATAGGCACTAACAAGGAAAATATTCACTTAAGCAAAAACTTGCTAGTTTGATGGTGTAAATTCAAAATCTAATCACTTCATGTTTCAAAAAGGCTCACATCAGTTCCACCAAGTGATCCAGCAACAAACAAATCATATACTAATGGTCATGCCATGGCCTTAAGATAGAAGATGGGTAAATAGGAAATAGAAACTTGGAACAGGAAGCAGTTTGCGGTTGATGGACAAAAGGATGATTTTCAGACCAGAAGACAACCAACAAAGATGTAGTCATTCTGTAACAGGTGAAATCCCAGTGGAACTACTGCTACACAGATGAGTATAGGCAGTAGTGAGACATTATCTGAAATGCTATGCACAGTTCTGGCCAATTCAGAGAAGATTATTTCCAACTGCAACACAGCAAAGAAAGCACAAGCCTACACCCAGTGGATGGGAGAGCCCACTGCACAACGGGAAATGGGCAAGCAAAGCCAAAATACTTATAGCCTGCCAAAACAAAGCCAGAGAAAGAAAGCATCTCTCTCTCTCTCTAAAATGAAAGCAGGAGAGAAGAGCTATTCTAACTAACTGATAATATTATCATAAGTACAAATAGGTAAGAACTAGTCATGATTAATTTTGGCTTAAAGGCTGAATGATATTTATAGAGTCATTACTAGAATGAGACTCAGGAACTGCCTTCAGAGATTATTCTTTCCTTACAAGTTTAACTTGCAGTTTGCTCTGTTTCTGAAGGTGCACTTTGCTTTTCTGCAAGAGCAGGAGCAGAGGTGTCACCCAACTACATATTAATAAAATACAATTTCTAAAAAAATATAAAAATATTCAAATCAGTATTTTTAGTTTCCTATGAAAAACTGAAGATCTAGTCAAAAACTTTAAGCTTGTTATTTATACTAAACCCTAAATTTTACTACACAAGTTTTTAAATTCCAAGTTGGCTTAGCTGCTGTCCAGTAGATTCAAGATCTGTCTGTTTCAACCTAAATACAATTTTACAGACTTATATTCTCATGAGTCAGGTATCCACAGCACTAAAAAAGAGCAAAATATCTGCTAAAATTACATGCTGTTTTCCTTTCAAAAGTGTTCAAATGAAAGCTTACAAAGGCAATGTAAGGAAGTTACAATACTGCTCATTCTATGAATTTATTATGGAGCTGACAATACACTTCTGAAGCTCCAGTTCTTCAGGCATACAACCATGTGAAATCATTGCTTTATTTTTTTCTTTTGTTTTTATTTTTAAAGTCCTAAATATTGCAAAAAAGAAGCCTGACAACACAGTATCAAGAGAGAAAAATGTACATTTCTGGTTTTAATTTCCATGGTTTTTAAAACAAGTGAGCTTTACATGATCACACATGCAAGTCAGTATTTATTAGCACCTCTTACGTCTAAACACATTAGAAGTATCAGAAGAGGTGTTATTAAAAGTTTCCTGAAAGTAAGGAGGTAGATGAAGAATCCAGAAGAGACAGACACTGGATGGGATGTCAAGCTTGCTCAAATTCTACCATTCACAGGAAATACTATGATTCCTAAGGATTCCAATTCCTAGTATTTAATCA